AGACACACACAGACACACAGAGACTCACACACACGCACAGACACACAGACACGCAGAGACGCACAGAGACACTCAGACACACAGACACACAGACACACAGACACACACACACACAGACACACAGACACACAGACACACAGACACACAGACACACAGACACACAGACACACAGACACACCCACACCCACACCCACACCCACACCCACACCCGCACCCGCACGCACGCACGCACGCACGCACGCACCCACACACACACACACACGCACCCACACACACACACACACACCCACCCCACCCACCCACGCACGCACGCACGCACGCACCCACGCACAAGCACGCATGCACAACAAGCGATGAAACGAAATCAACAACTGCAATCAGCAGCATCAAAAAAGCAACACACGGCCAACAACAAGAGTGCCAGTTCACAAGCAACACATACAACAAACCACAAACACAAAAAACACGAGTACACTGAGTACACACCAACACAACACACATCCGCAAATTAGCACTGAAATACCCAGAACTGGGCATGCGGGCTTCATCTTGGCTCCGTAAATCAAGCGAACCAAGGGATGCCTTCCACACACACACACACACACGCTCACGACAATGCAAGCTATGGACATACTATGGACCCAATGGAACAGCTCGTCGAACCATTGTATATAAATCCCTTGTGGGACCCACACTGCAAATATAGAATAATTCCAACACCTGAAATTGGTGGGTGTTTGTGGGGAACCCTTTGGGGACATCAATTTGGTCATGTCCACCAACCACCTTTGAGGTAGTTCCCTATTTAAATACTGGCACAATAAGAATTGGATTCCATCGTAAAGGACCTGCATCATGGCTTTGTGTTTGTGGTTGTGGTTGTGTGTTTGCGTATTTGTGTGTTTGCGTGTTTGCGGGTTTGTGTGTGTGTGTGCGTGTTGTGTGTGTGGCTGTTGTTGTGGTTGTGGTTGTGGTTGCGGTTGCGGTTGTGGTTGTGGTTGTGGTGTTTTGGTGTTGTCTTTTCGTTTGGCAAAAAACCTGGCGCTGATCTGTTTCCGCTACCAGGTCGTATTGGAGCACTTTGTATGTGTGTGTGTGTGTCGATGATGGCACTTTGTTTTAGTTGAATATAGAGTCCTCATGTTGCTTGGTCATGCGTCAGACTGCGAGCATTCAGGGGGGTGGTAGGTTGTGACAAGGTTACCCTTAGTGTCATTCAGTAGTCATAGTGTGGCATCGCCACAAAGGCATCGCGGAAGCCCCAAGGACCCCTAGGCTTGCTATCATGACCCCTTGAAGGCTTCAGGAGTCGTACCACAGCGGGCAGGGATCCTGCAACCCAGGTTTGCTTGGGAGGACCAGCCCAGGCCTTACCCGGTACAATCAAAGCGGGCTGTCGGGGCAACCAGGAGTCCGGCTTGCAAACCATCTTGACGGCGATGAAGAACCACTTGTCGAACGCGCGTGTACAGGCGTGTCCAAGCGGCTGGATCTTGCCTCACTGGGTATGGGCATTGCGTCAGCCAGTGCTACGAATTCATGTGTCACTTTGTGTCCAGCACTCATGAAACCTGATTTCAGGAGGGGTAGTCTGTCTACCATGTTAGAGGAATTTCCTTTGGCGGGGCGGGACCCCCCCCTTTTAGGGGATAGTTTGATTCCTTGCAAGTCTCCGATTCTGATTCGCCGGGTGCAGGCCAGCACTTTTTGCATCTGAAATTTAAACTTGTTGAAGATATGACATTCGTGCTAAACTCCAAATCGAGAGATCCGCTCAAGTGAGCCAATCGAAACGGCGACTTGTTACGTTCGGATCACGCAACCACGCATATCTATATTATATATACATATATATATATATGTATGTATATGTATGATTCATGCTCCCTAAGCGGCGAGCCACCTTGCATTGCATTCGCAGGGTTAAACGGCTCGAACAGGAAACACTTTGTGCCATCAATACTACCAGAGTGGCGGTTTTTGGCGGTCTCCCAAATCATCTATGGTCGTCAGCGGCTCCAACTGGTTGGTTTCACACCAAAACTCCCTAAGGTATCCGTGGCATTTCTGGTTGCTCCGAGCCTTGCGAAAACCTGGGCTGAAAGTTGGTTGATTTGCGTTGGTCTCCCTTTCCACGAGCCCTTTTGGGTTTTCTGCGAAGGTATACCATATTTGAGGGTAGACTGAAAAAGGGAGCAACTCTGTTCCCCCTTGTCAGCAAGGTCTCCACCACTTTGTATGGAACTGGGGATTGGCATGGTGGATGCTTCGGGCCTATGTGGGTGTGCGTGTCTTTGGGAGGCTAAAAAATGGTTGTTTAAAAGGGACACCAAACTTTGACGCCTACCCATCACCCACCTTCTTTAGGGTATTGTTTTGGGAGTGAATAAATGCAAGACTCACCCCTGTCAAAAGAACAAGAGGAGGAACCCTCCCCAAGAAAACATGGGCGAGCCCTCTTGCGTCGCGACCATGCGACCTGCCGGCCGAACGTCAGCCGCTCGCGAACGGAGGTCGTGGCTTGTGGAGTACTTCGAAACACGAGCGCCCGCAGTGGAAAGTATCAGGCACAACTGGCGCCCTGGCCATTCAGCTTGATGTACCATTGGGAGGATAGGCGAGGCGAACCCATTTCAATACACGGTGCCAGCTCACCCCCCGTTATTGTCTCATTTTGAGACACACGAGGAGTTTTCATCTTGCTCTCGGCCTGTAGTTTCGCACACTTCAACTTCCTCCCAAAGCCTTTAGGGGAGAATGTCTGGAATTGACGCTGAGTTGGGCTGAGGTTGGGCTGAGGTTGGGCTGTGTTGTCCTCGTGCATGGCGAGTATTTTGGAGGGATGTCGATGTGTTCACCCTCCAAATTTGTGTACTTCACCCTTCCTTTGTGTAACCCTCAAACTCTAGTTTTGGAACCCTCTACCACCTGGGAGTGTTTGCGGCCGAAACCGTCTCGGCTTATTTGGCTGATCAAACATAGCTTTTCCTTCAGATGGCGGGCTTCCTTGCCGGCCAACCCCTGGGGATAGCCAACCTCCGCATGAAGAGATCTGCCCTAACATGGAAGCCTGGGAAAGTCTTGGACGATTTTCCTACACCAAACTTTGCTTTTTACAGTAGAGTCACCAAAGTGGACAGAGAAACGCCGGTGGCAGCGTGCTTGTTTTGATAGGGGGCGACCTCCCCTCCTTCTCCCTAATGTTTAAACCAAGGGATGGCGTGATTTGTCCAGAGCCCCAAACCAGGGAAGCACAGAAAGGGCTGAACAAGTCACAGGAAGTGAGCTATTGGGTGCCGTCTCCATGCCCTGTTGTCCCGTCTTTTTGCTGGGCATCTTTTTGGAGGTTGGCTTAAATTGAAGCCAAGGGGAACAGCCACAATTTCTTGGGTTCTTTTGTGTTGACACCCCCATTTCCGGTGCCGCCTATCGTTTTGCACGTGCGGCGCGCGAAAGCTGTTGGACTTTAAAAAGACATTGTTGGCAATACTATGGTATTTACCACACCATTGGGGTGCTAAATAAACAGTTTCAGCTTGTTGTGTGAACCCACTCAGGAAGCGAGGAAAGACTGTTTGGCTCCCAACCTTGTTGCTGATCTATTCTCATTTACAACAAACAAACAGATAAACAAACAAGCAAGCAAACAAACAAGCAAGCAAACAGGCAAGCAAGCAAACCTAGATCACAGCTGCTCAGCGAGCCCGCGTTTCCTTCCAGCGCCACCTTTTTTCTCATCCGACTGCGGCGCCATGGGGACCACTGAGAGCTGCTGCAGCGACAAAGACGAGAAAAAAGCCGTGGCCACGATTGAGATTGTGAGCACTTGGCCTGTGACGGGCGAGACAGAGGCGGGGGAGTTGAAAATATCAAAGGGTTTTTCTACTTTGGGATCTGCCACAGATTTGTCTAAGAGCAAACGACCAACCCGGAAGAGGGTGCCAAGCTGAAAAGTGAGGTTTGCAGCACTGGCCAGAGGCCTGACATGCTCATCTTGGGGTCGCAACCCAAAGAGGGGAAGAGGCAAGTTGACCAACCTGCCAGGGCGAAGCCGAAGAGGGCGCGAGCCCGGTCGAGATTCAAGACAGGCTGGGAGTTCCAAATGGTTTGGGACTGCTGCGAAGGCCAACCAAACGGAAAACCAGGGAAAACCCATCAATTTCTATGAGATTCCATTTGGAGACACAGGTGTTACAAGATGAGAAAGCTGCAGCACCTGGATGTGGATGAGGAGATGTGCTACAAATTGTTGCAAAAGGATGGTTTTGTTGGAGCGACCCTTGCTGGGGTCCTTGATTTGGAGAAGCGCTGGGATGGGTTGAGGGTGGAAGTTAAGTGAGTTTGGACTTCATGGCATGGCGGGTGTTTCCCAAAATTAGGGGGTACTTGGGTACTCGTAGCTTGAACATAACCGTGTCGGGCTTAGCTGTTTGCAGAGTTAGGGTGTGAAGAGCCTCGAGGACATTCTGCGCGCAATTCCGCTGAAGAAGTCCTTGAGAGGTCTCGGCCACCTCTGGCGAAAGTCCCCCATCGACCTGACGAAGGATGAGGGTGAGGGGCTGTGGGCGCAATCGCAGCCAGTGGACTATATCGACACCTTTCTCTCCCACACTTGGTCAACACCTGGAGGACACAAGGTCCTCTCGTTGACGATTCAGTCCGCTTGGCTCTTCATTCTGCTTTCTTGGGCCAGTGTTGCATTGATTTTCTCTGTCCTTTGCATCCTAGACTTCCTGCCGATGCCGTTTTCTATCCATGTTACGGTGTTAGAGTTTCAGGCTCAATGCAAAGTTGGAGTTTGGGTGGTTATTTCCAGCTTGCTGGCAGCAGTCCTGTCGGCCTTTCTTTGGCCATGGGTGCCGGAAGTCTTGTGCCTAAAGTCTAACAAGTGCTTCCTGGATGTGGTATGCATTCACCAGACAGACGCGGACCTTAAGGAGCGGGGGATTTATGGCCTGGGTGGCTTTCTGAAAGTCTCCCGCGAGTTGAGGGTGCTGTGG